AAATGTTCACGATTTTTATATTCAAATGAAAGACGACCACCACATACGAACGTTTCACATATTTACTACACCAATATTTTAATTGATCATCTGAATGATAATTACATAATGATGATGATGTTGCTGAAGACGGTTTTTGCCCCATAGAACCAACTGAATATTTTCTTGCGATGAAATATTTCTGAGACAATGGTTTTTAAAGAGCTGATCATAAAGATCGGCAATAAAAATCTGAATTTGAAAATAATATTAATGCCCTCTCACTAAGAAAAATAAATTTTCATCCAAAAAATTGATTTTGAGATTTATATATGGTTGAAGAGAGCAAAGTGTCGTCTTTCCAACGTACTAACTTTTATGCCGTGAAAAATGGATTTTCTAGCTGTTTTTCTGAAAGCCTCCGATTCTAAAAGAATTAGTTTTTTATTGAAATATTACTGCATATGCAAAAATACCTGTCCCACATGTCTCTGCATACGCTTAGTGGACTTAGCATACGGAAAAACCTATGGTGAACTATTATTGTATTTCTTTCTATTAACTATTATTATACTTCTCTCCTTCGCCATTTTTCGTTTTATAAACTTGTTTCACGTTTTTCTCAAAATTTCTTTTTACGACTATAGCATTTCGTACTTCCAAGATATCTGCGTCATTTTTCGAGCTAGAAATTTCGGATTAGTTTCAAAAAATAGAGAAATGTTTTTCTATGTCGTCACGTCGTTGGATTTTTTAATTTAAGTTTAGCTTCGTAGGAATCTACGAAAAATAAATAAAACCTCGCTAACTTGTCGGAAACATTTCAAACTTCTTCGAAACTAAACTTAAATTTTCCAAAAAGCAATCTCTGGTTTAAGCCAGATCAACGAGCATCTGCAATTCGACTGCGAATTCATCTTCCCGTAAAAATTCAATTTTGCATTACCCGAATCTTCGTGTTTAAAACTCAAGAAATGACTGCCATTATGAAGTCCAATTTCAAACTGAAGAAATTTTATTAATAATTTAAATGCATACAACAAGTATTTCAGATCTGTGCTGCTCCCCCATCAACGAACAGCTCGATTCCTGTCACATAACTGCTATCGTCCGACGCGAGAAAGACAGCAGCTTTGGCAATTTCATCAGGCGTACCAAGGCGGCCCATCACCGTACTAGCTTTCATAGCGTCAAGGAATCCTTTTTTCTCCTCTTCGCTGTTGCCGAGACCTTGTAATCCTTCTGTGTCGATTGGTCCCGGACTCAAAGCATTGACTCGGATCTTGCGCTCTTTCAAGTCGACCGTCCAACATCGTGCGAAAGAGCGAACAGCCGCCTTTGTCGCACTGTACACACTAAATCCTGGATTTGCTTTGACGGAAACGATAGATGCGTTGAGGATGATTGATCCGCCATCGGTAAATATCGGCAATGCTTTTTGAACAGTGAATAATACTCCTTTCGCATTGGCATTGAATATGTCGTCAAAATGCTTTTCGGTGATCGAGCCTAGCGGTGCAAACTCACCTCCACCAGCATTGGCGAAGAGAATGTCTAAATGGCCCTTTTCCTTCTTAATCACGCTGTACAGCTTGTCGAGGTCGTCCAGACTAGAAGTGTCTCCTTGTACCGCGGTCACATTCTTGCTCCCAAGTTTTTTCACGGCTTCATTGAGCGCTTCTTGGCGTCGTCCGGTAATGAAGACATGTGCTGCGCCTTCGGCGACGAATCGCTGAGCAGTGGCAAAACCAATGCCACTTGAGCCACCCGTAACGAGAGCGATCTTTCCATCGAGTTTGCCCATGTTGTTGTTCTAGTTGTTTGTATTGATGATCGTTTGTCGATTAGTTCTGAAGAAAAATGTGTGCGGCTGTAACATTTTTATATACACAAATACCTATCTGCATCATGCTGACGCTGCTTTTTCTGTTCTCCTAGGACAATTACTCGCATCACGCTGATTGTATTTTTCTCCGTTCTCCCTGGACAGTTACTTGTCTCATCATGATTATGTGATTTCTTCCTCGTTCTCCCTAGGTATGTGCATTCGGGCCACGCTTTTCATTCAATGTATACTCAACGGTTTTCTTTCTACTGAAATTTCTATATGCCTGATTTTGAAAATTGTTTTTGCTATATCTTCCAAACTGCTAAACCTTTACCCCTGGCATTTTTATCCTTTTTTCATGTTGTTACCCTGAATATTTGATAAAAAGTATACCTTGTAAAGTTTGGCCGTTCGAGAGAAAATTGCATTTTACTGGCGAAAAGTAACGCGAGATTTTTTTATCTAAAAAGGCAACGGGAGATCAAAATGCGTGAATCTCTGGAAACAACAGACCTAGACATAACTTGTTATACGCTGAAGAATTCGTTTTCGGGAGATTATTTACTGTGTATGTTAAAAGTCTTCGAAACGGGTTTTGAATCTTTATACGCTAGAAAAGACGAGAAAATAAAGACTGTAAGGGGTTTTTATGACATGTTCGTGGTGTTTGTAGACGAGAAGCATTTTTTGTTAAGTTTTAGATGTTTATAATGTCGGGGGTCGGAATGTCCCTCTATCGATTCTCTCTCTCAAGTTCTGTCAATTGATATATGACTCAGGACTTTTTCCTTCGTTTACTCTATTTCCTTATCAGGCAGAGGAATTTCGCGTATTTCGAAAAATCTCAATATCTAGAGAAAAAGAGTAGTGTGACAGTCGGGAAAATAGTGTATTAATACGTAATCGATAGCGCTCTATCGAATGCACGACCGACTTTTTCTTCGTTTAAAACTTTTTTTCTCAAAATGTTTTTTGATCAATTGGACAATGGCGGTGCAATTCACTCATATATCTGATGACTCTGATGAATTTCCGATATTTGCTCCTTACGGGATAATGACCGTGATATTAGATAATGTTCCGATCATTTGACCGTTTGGCTTGATCGACATATTGGTAGACCAGAAGAAAATGTTCCACTGAAATACAAATTTCAGACTAATTTTGAATACCTTTGACAATCACGAAGCAGAATTCCATAAATTTCCAAGGGAAATGTTTGATGAGAAGGTGTGGAATAATTTAAAAGATAATGTATATTGTTTAAAATCTTTTCATGATATAAACGAATGTCTTAAATTTATACGTTAAAATCTTGACAAAAGCAATTTTCTTCATTACATCTGAAACAACGCGTGAAGCAATTGTGCCGGAAACAGCTGATTTACCAAATATTACTGATATTTACATATTTTGTGGTAGTATATCTTGCCATGTAGAATGGGCAATTCATTATGTTGACAAAATAGTAGCAATGTTAGAACACCAAGAGGATCTACTTATACGCTTAACAAAAGATATAGGAAAATATTTACTCAGGGAGGGCGATGATCATATGAATTTCTTTGAAAGTTTGAAAGCTAGGGTTTACTTTGCATGGGCAACTAAACTAACGCAAACTCTAGCTCGCAAAGGCTTGGTGATACGAATTATAGACTAATTCCAATGCGTCCCTTGGAAAGATTAAAGAATGCTGAGATGGAAATGGAAGCAGGACAACAACAAATGGAAGTAGAGATATATGAGAATAAAATAATATCTGTACCGTCACTTATAAGTAACGTTCATCTGCGATTCATTAATCGATCCCTTGGCTGAATACTTCATCCGAATGATACGGATTCTTCATGAGGATTAGATTGAAGGATTGAAATTAAACATTGCGTACATAGAATTGAGTCATACTTTCGTACATACACATAGCTGCTGGAATAAGAGATGAATACTGAAAAACTATATAACCCAATCGGAGTTGAGTTGCTAAATAATGACACTTAAAACAAAACAGAAAGAAAAAGAAAACAGACAATAATTTTTCTAGTAGAAAATCCTGCAAGAAATGTGTCGTAACACGGTTTAGTGTCGGTAATCAAAATGATTTGTCTTGCCTTAAAACAAAAAAGGACGGAAACTGTTAATTAAGGCGGGAGAAAAACAATAGAAAAACGTGTCTTCAGGCAGTAATTCCGCTTTGTGAAAATCCCAACTTGTGGACGCACATTTTCAGTCAATGTATTGAATGAATTGCACATGAACATCTTGTTGCAGGGAAACCCTCATACATTTTCAAAATCTGCATGTTAAATTATGTATAATTTTAAAAAATCAGGAAAAGTGCATTTCTGTGTTGGATAGAGAATTGGGAAAGTGAGAAGGGAAGGGAAGCCGTCAAAAGTCGCATATGTTAATGTGAATACATGTCACTCTAAAGAATGACATGTATTCACATTAAGGACCCTGCCGGATTTGAAAATTTGAAAGTATGAAAAAGCTGAATAGCAGGTTCGATAGAGAATTTTATTGCGCATCTAACAAAATATCGTTTGGGTTAAAATCGAACAAACAAGAGAGAGAGAGGGAGAGAGAGCAGCCGATGGAGAATCAGTGAAATAGTTCGTATCCCAGGAGCAGCGGACAATTTCGTAATTTCGAGAAGAAGGCGATCTGTTATCCGGTCTGCATCGTATTAGGGAAGCCGTTAAAAGTCGGGTCGGTGAATTTTCTTCATCGTTGGATATTTTCACTGGGTTGCACACAGAACGGAGAACAGTATTATTTTGCATAACATTTGGTACATTTTAACATAACAGAAAAGGATCCCGTTTAGTTTGTGAGATATATCACTGTTAATATCGCTGATTATGGTATAAAAAAGCAAGTTTTTTGCAATGATAAGACAAACTAATATTGTTCGAAATATCGATGAGCACAGATGTAAGTATTTACAAGGCCACCAAATGTTGAATAAAATGTTATGTTAAAATGTTAAAGTAAAAATGTTTATAATTGACGTCACTTTTTTCGAGAAGATACTGACTATGGATAATAGCAGCCGTTCAAGCATTTTTACTCCTGTTTTACATACATTATCTCTGACTCCTATGGCCCGAAGAGAAAGCAGGAAAGTCATGGTAGTTCAGAAAGTTCTCTGAAAATTCATTTGGCTTTTATACTGGAGTAGATACCTACTTTTTCATACGTTCAGCTGTGATATGGGCAGCCTTATAACTGGAAAACTAAACGGTACCTTTTCCTAAAAAATAGCACAAAAAATTCCCTTCTAGTATCAAGATGCTTTCAAATACCGCGCTTTGTAACTAATACATTGGATAAATAAGATGTCGTAGGCCAGAATAAACTGTGACTTTATCAGATTGGTCAAACGATGGAACATAGCAGCCAACAGGTTCATGACAAATCCTTCGGTGGAGGAATAACTGCTGCAATTCCCGTTGACTCATATTACAATTTAGGGAAGAATGCATTTCTTTATTCTTCATCCCATATAACAAAGTGTTCTTTCTGGAGTCAACTCTTCAACATTTCGAAATAACTTGAGATCATTAAACAAAACCAAGATGCGTAATGAGAGAATAAAAAACAAAGGATGCTCGAGATCAACGTCGAAAACAACCCTGTTACCAGCAGTCAACGGAAACCTTTCGCAAGCAAAATTTCCTGTTTAACAAGGCTGACAGAAATGACTCTTTCTTGAGTGGGAAAAAGTCTTTTGTTGCAATACTTTGTCTGTGTGGATATTTCTAGTTGTGGTTGTCGTCTGTGTGATTATACTTGTTGCTGTTCATGGAAACCGCACAGACTGGTATCCAGTTTGAATCACCGAAAACAACACATCGTTGTTCGAATGGATAAATACATTCAACCTTATTTGTGATCTCACTGTTCTGACTTCTCAATTTGTCTTCCTCACCACACACGGCTGTTATAGCCTTAAAGCATGTTAGATATATACGTGAGTTTCTTCTATAGTCGCGATCGCACCTCGACAACAGTGACTTCTTAGCGATCATGGCGTGACTCCGCGATTCAAGCACGATCACTATAATAAAAATTGTCACGTCGCGACTTCAAGTTTTTTGAAAAATATGACCTTTGCATACAGAAGGTTATTTTTCATTGCAAACTCGTAGCACACGACGAGATTTTATGGCTTACTACGTAAGAAGCAGTTTCCGTCTATCAGTGAGTTCTCAACAAAAGTTGGCCGTTAAAATTCGTTTAAGGCACATACTCTAAAAGTCCAATCTGTTTTTTGTAACTTAACTTGATTCCGTCATTGAGTAAATCGTAAAGAACCAAGTAGATAATAACATCACAATCGACAGAGTAATTGGACTTCATTTGAACACTAATTTTCTATCTCATTCTTGATTCATAAAAACATTATTTTATTGCATGCCACATGTAACTGGCCCTTGTACCTGTCATCGTTCTTGAAAAAACAGGCTGCAGGCTTAAAAAATGTCAGTTCGAGTTGACGGTTGGACAAACTGATGTCTGCTGTTTTTATTGAAATTTTCTATCAGATTTGTTTCTCTTTCCTGGAAATACAGACCTCTAGAAGTATACCGGCAGTCTGTCAGGACAAGAGCGTGATCCACAGGACTGAAAAATCTTATGTCTGTGTATACCAAAAAAAATAAATACACACCCAGAACATAATCTAGGACTAATAAACTAATAACTATAAAAGGTTAATGGTTAGAGAACGGCCCGTTATCACCCAAGCAGACAAACTTTCTCAAACACGCGTGTAAACACCAGAAAGTAGCCTTTTCTGAGCGTTTTAAGGCGTGTGGAAAAAAATGGTCGTGTAAACACTATGAACTCACGATTTTTCAGCGTGTACGCGCCAAATTTCTTAGTATTTAATATTTCTAGACGTGCAAACTTCAAAACTCCAGCGTTATGGCCGTGTAAACGCACATTCAATCCGACACGCGTTTAAACCATCA